GGTAGACAGCAACCTTTCCTGCGGCGATCAGATCAGCGAAGATTGAGTTCATCAAGGCTTGGAACGTAGCGGGGGAGTTGGTAAGTCCGAACAGCATGACCCGCGGTTCGAATAGGCCTCGATCGTGGACTGTAAACGCGGCCTTCCACTCGTCGCCCTCCTTGATGCGGACGTTGTGGTAGCCCCAGCGGACGTCAAACTTGGTGAAGTACTTGGCTTGGCGCAGGCGACTGATGATGTCCGACGCGAGGGGGAGAGGGTACCGGTTCTTCACCGTGATCTCGTTGAGCTTGCGGTAGTCCTGGACTAGACGAAGCTTGCCATCCTTCTTCTTCACGAAGAAGACCGGGGACGCCATCGGGGACTTGGAGGGGACGATGTAGCCTTTCCGAAGGTTTTCCTCGAGGAACCGATCGACCTCCTCCTGCTCGTTAGGCGACATTGGGTAGGCCTTGGAGCGTAGAGTTTCTGGGGCGTCGGGTTTGAGGTCAATGGCATGGTCGTACGGCTTGTGCTCTGGAAGGCGTTCCGATTCAGTCTCCGAGAAGACCTTCGAGTATTGTCGGTACTCCTCCGGAACAATCTCTTCGAACGTGCGTTTGGGCTTGCCCTGGTTGGCCTTCTGCGCGAGCTCCGTGGAGTAGGTGTACCCGGCGGCGCACCATAACTCCTCGGTCGTGTCCTCCAGAACCTTGGCCTTCCACCACTTCCTTCGCTGCACCCGGTTGGCGGCGATCCGCTCAATACCAGGTTTCCATTCGGCCTCGACCTCCGTTTCCTCCGCACCAACCTCCATGGTGCCTTCCTGCCAGTCAATGTCCGGGTTGACCCTACGAAGCCAAGGTAAGCCTAATACGACGTCTTCGGGGCCCAGGTCTGTAACTAAGAACTCGAGCCATTCCGTGTAGTCGCCCATAAGTACTTGTAACCTAACGTAATGGGATATGCTGCCTGCACTGTTCTTGGAGCCGTCGATGTTATAGAGGGGGATGTCTCTAGCTAGCCTATGTAAGTAGACGTTGTTCTTCTTTACGAAACGATGGCTGATGAAAAGGGCCGTTGCCCCACTGTCTATCATAGCTGCGGAACGTACACTACGGTTTCTGCCTTTAAGTATCACACTGACGCGGAAATGCGAGCTAGACGGGTTCAATTCGGGAATGATACACGAACTAATGTTATCGTACACGCAGGGGTCAGGGATCTGGGGAGGCGGAGAGTCCGTAGTCGTACTAGGGGGCGCCGCTGCGGCAGCTTTCGCACGCGCCCGCTCTAAAAAGACTTCTGCAAAGAGGCAAGCTGGTCGGCGAGGGCCTTCTGCTGCTCCATGAGCTGCGCGATGAGGGCGTTGGTTGCTCCAGCATCTGCCGACGTCGACGTCGACGCTGCAACTTGGGGCTCCTCAGGTCCTTCTTCCGTGGCGGCGAGCTTCTGCGAGTGGGGCTTCTTCAGGAACTTGTCCATGCATACCGTCTCGCGGTGCCCTACGCGGCGACAGTAGCCGCAGATGTCCCGATCGTGGCCGCCGTCCTTCTTGACGTGCGCCGTAGAGCCGCAGCCGTAGCACTTGCCGCGCATGAGGCGGTTGAACTCTTCGCGCGTACGGGTCGCGTCGATGTCCATTGCGTTCGGGTCTCGGGCAGGCGGCGTGAAGGGGGTGGTATGCAGCGGAACAGCCGGCTTGGCCGCGGTGGTGGTGGTGGTGGTGCGTCCGCGCTGACGATCCCGTTCGGCACGGCGTTGGCGGACACGGACGTCGATGTCGGAGGAGACGGTGATGAGGTCCTCCAGAGAAGCGATGGGCCTTGCCGTGTGTACCAACTCGTCCTTGATGGAGTCCGCAAGGTGCTCGTAGAAGCGGTCGCGGAGGTCGGCCTTGGAGTAGCCAGTGCGGGTGGAGAGCTCGTTGAACCGGGCGGCGTACTCCGGAACAGTCATGGAGCCTTGCCACAACGTACGAAGGCGTTCCTTCGCATCGACCGCCTCGTCGACCGTCTCGAATCGGGCCTTGAACTGGGTGCGGAACTCCGTCCACAAGCCTTTG